TTCACTGACTGCACACTACCCTCAAAAACGTCGTGTGTGACCTACCACAAGCAGTTGTCTCTTGGGTAGTGCGGTCACGCTCTCAGGTCACTAAGACCATCTTTAATCCATTTTCCTTTTCAGGTACCTCCAGAAGAACCCTTCCACGGTGTGGGCAACCGGGAAGTGATAATCGTCCTCATACTTCTAACAGCGTTCAAGACTGACTGACTACTCTATTTACTAACTGTTTTAGATAATATCTCAAAGAAAAACAAATAATATAACCTTTTCAATTCAGTCAATTAATTCAGTAATGATTATATTAGTCATAAAACTATTTAATATGTTGTTCAGTATGATTACTCTTGTTTTGGTTATTGTCAATAGGCTATAATACGTATTTAGCCTACTTGAAATATGTTTATTTTGAAACAGATGATGTTAATACTTTGATGTGTTATTCATAAACATTATCGAACCTGGTGCATATAAGTACATAGATCTACATTACGTTAATACAGTGAGATAATAAACAAAATAATAATACTGGTATCAGTGATAATAATGCTATAACAAATCGACTTACCATATAATTAAAGTAGACATTGCTATAATCTCAATCTTTTCTTTTTCTTTCACAAAGACAGGATTTTACACATCGTTGTAAATCGATGTACCTTCTACGTATCTTACTGCATTGTGATTGTTTAAAATAGATTTGGTTTATTCTAGATGTCTATTCGTTGGATAAAATGACATCTGTAAATGTTCTCATGAGATCACTCGCGAAACTCTTTTTACTCCTTTCACATTGTGGGTTAGTTTTAGCGAAAGTAAAAGAAAGAAGGGCCAGTCTTCTATGCCTAAACCGGACTAGTACGTATTGCAGGTGCATCTAAGGAAATTGAAAAACCTTGATTCCAAATTAACGTTGTACGTTGGATCAGCATCTATAGGGAAGAAATAATGGTACGGACTTAGTTTTATCTGCGGATATCCTGGAACGATATATCTTAACCTAGTTTCACTGGTGTATCCATTAGTTCTAATTCTCAGAAAAAAGGTCTCCCGAGTAGATCTCCTGCTTCAGCCTGGACTGCGGTCAGTATTTCAACCAAACACATAAATTTTATAACCGTCCATAATAAAATTAAAATTGCGATATAACGTGATAGATGCATTTTCATAGTGACTGTTCATATGCGCCACATAAGTCACTTGATTTGTGTGTGGGCTGTAATACTGCTCGATGCCCAAATTGAAGCAGGTATTTTTTTTTGGTTTGTTTTTAGCTAATCACGTTTTACCATTAAAAAATAAGTATCATTTTCAACTTTGTTATCGTTTACCAAAAGTTTACATTAGCTACCAGTTAGTGTCAAGTTTCAGTGAAAATGACGTCATCAAGATCATTTTGTATTGAGTTTTTTTTGTCTGAAAATTTTCTCTGTCACAGAAACAGACAAAATCTAGTGACTTGATGATATTTAACATAGACTATTGTTTCATACCGTTCCGGTTGAGATCCTCTTTGCTAACTCTAACTCTTCCTATATTTCTAGCTCTCCTTCCTTTTTCTGAAATCCATCTTAAACGAAGTTTTTTTTATGAACATTGGTTGGGGTTTATATATATAATCTATCAGTTTATGAAGTAACTTAGTTTGAAGAACAATATTAACATTTATGATTTATATCATCGATATTGAAAACCAGTTAAATCCAGAAAACACTAGACAACTATTTCGTCGTGGAACGATAATGAAAATTTGTCCAAGATATGCGACGTAAGCCATTGGCGGACTACTTTTCTGATATATATAATACATGTTCATGTGTAAGAAAATTGTGTATCAGTATCAATACACAAACTCTCCCCATCACAAGAGTAACAAAAGGTTAAAGACATTGAATAACTTGGCTCAGAATCAGTTGTAACGGCATAGATGCATTCAGTCGTTGTCTAGAAACTTAAACTTTTTATTCCTCTAATTTATTCTTTTTTGAACCATGTTGCTTATGCCTAATCTTTTCTACTACCACTGATAATGTTAGTACTTTTAATATTTGTGTTAATAATTTAGCTCTCTATCTTTATGTGCTGTGACGACTTGAACAGATACACACATGTACCAGATCCAACGTTGTTAATATCTGACAGATACTAGCGTAGATATAAGCGGACTTTTGTTGCTTATGCGGTGATTGGTTAATTCCAACATTGTTAGCATTATTGTTTTTGTATTTATTTAATTTTTTTTTCTAATTTGCTTTCTAAATACGCACGTAGATCTCATCTGCTTCCACGTATTCGTGTATCTGACCTACGCGAACGTGCTAATGACTCTAATCTGGATGATTCTTCTGGTCAAGAGAAAATCGATGAAAGTAAAGATATAATGATAGAATCCTCTAGTGGTGGTGATCAGTTATCTGTACGACGTATGAATACTTTTAGTATGTCAGATAAGGTTCGCCCGAATGGTTCAGATTCCCAGTCACCTGGTTTGAAATGTCCATTGTCTAGAGCACCACCAATGTCAAATATACCTAAGTAAGGTTTTTTGTTTTTATACGTATTATGTCTGATAGTGACTTTCTGTCAAACGATAAACGTATTTTTGCATATTATCAATTTGTGAGTGTTTATTAGCTGAGTAGTTTGTATAGTTAATCTTCACTTACCCGACTAAGATGGTTCGTTGTTGGTTAATTTATTTGAATTGATTAGTGTACTTAGACTGTAAAATAAGGCAGTATGCAGAAGGAATCTGTATTTATTGTGAGAAGTTACAAAGCGTTTACATAATACATGTACATAGCCTTCAATTATCCATTTGCATATTTCGATGTGTTCTGCAATCTGAACTGTCTTCTTGTCTTCTCTCCAAGTATTTTGCCTACGTCGTGCTTTCTCTGTACTGAGACTCTTCACTCCGTCTGACGATTATTGAAACTTAGACACCACGTTTCACAACATACTACTTATAAATAAACCATGTAAACTATAAAGCACTTGATATCTGTTCTGTCGTGGTATTTCGTGATATTGTTAACCTATCGTTCAATCCCTCACATTTGATTGGATTCCACTGTTCATAGCTTCTCACTATAATTCCTTGAATCATTTCTTTGAATTAATCCCTTGACTGTTTCTCTTGTTACTTACATCGATATAATTATTACCGGCTTTTGCTTAGTTTATATTTTATTAATATCCTTTCTGTATGTAGTGATGTTGATCGTAGTTAGTCATTCGTAGTACTATCATTGTCATAATCGTTATTACTTTTATTATTATTGGGACTATTGTGAACTTTTTCAGCTCACTAACTACTCCAACAACTAGTAGTAGTGAAAATTCACCGATTAAACAGTCAGCTGACAAGTCTTCTTCGTCAGCATCATCTTCATCATCGTCACCTAGTAAGCAAAATGGTAATGAACAACAAACAATTAAATTAAATCCAGCTGTTCCATATTCAGAAGAGAATCCGTAAGTTCTCATTTGTTCTATTATCACATTACTTAATATACCTTACAAGTAATTGTTGTTTGACAGATTTTCTTGATATTATGATGATGTTATGGGGCGGTTGCTCAATGGTTCAGAGGTTCGACACTAAGTTTCGGGTTCGAACCCCGCTTTGTTTACTTCTGTTTGGGCATACAGTTAATATCATAGCCTTTCATACCTGACTACATAATGAATAAGTTGGACGAAAAATGATGATTGTTTCCGATCAACTTGTCGGTAGTGATTATTTATTCAATGATGACAATGATTTATTCAGGACCCAATCCTAGCGCGTTAGGACTTCCATCATCTCCATACATTATCCTTATTGCAACTGATTCAATATAATTGTCGTACTTGTTGTTAGTATTGTTATCTTGGTATATTTACTCACTCTCCGTTTTCAAGGGCATTTCAACTCCAACTATAGGAATTTTCACGTCATCAGTCTAACCTGAATCGATAACAAAAGATACCAAAAGCATAATAACCGGTCAGTTTAGTTATGTGAATTGAAAAAAAAGTTACAAATGACTTGTTTATTCATCAGAGTAACAATTTGTCGATAAAACCAAGATAAGGCGAATGAGATCATTTGAGGTGTTTCTAACATGAAGCATCCCCTTCACGCATATAGTTATTTACGAAATCCACACTAACTGTCGTCAGAGTATATTTCATCTGTGTGTGTGTATGTATGTATATGTCAACAATGATATTTTTGCGCACAATTTCATCTTACTCTTTTCAATGTTATTGATTCGAATGTGTAAGTTGTACTTGGAATTATTGAATTCAGATTAATTCTTCAATGATACCGTTTTCATTCTCCTCAATATCATTATTCTAAGAAATGAGTTAATACAGTATCTTTAACATAATTTACAAGCTTTTGTGTGAAATTCAAAAGTGAATCAGTTTCATCATATATAATTTACTATGTGAATAATTTTGCATTATTATTAGAATTCTTAAAATTGTTCAAAGAAAATTCTTTTTTTGTTTGTTTGTTTGTTGTTGTCATATGAATGTTAAACGTATCAAGCGCATTCAGTTTTTATTACTTACAGTGATTACATAATATGTTTATTAATCTGGTTTTAGTTCAATTGACTTAGTTGTATTGATTAGCTTAGTAAATACAACAGCGAACTAATCAAATAGGAATGTCAAAATAAAGATTAGTTTAAATGTATGTATAACAGCGAAACATGGCCATTAAGAGTCGATGATACTCGTAAGCTACTAGTATTTGATCACAGATGTCATAGAAATATTGCTTGCAACTACTGGGATCACCGGGTAAGTAATAGTGAGGTTAGACGCAGGATATTAGAGAATGATGATGGTTAATCAGTTGATGAGGTTGTGAATCTTCATCGACTGAGATGGTTGGGCCACGTGTTACGTATGCCTGAACACCGATTACTACGACGCGTAATGCTGACTAGTTTTGGAGACGGTTGGAAGAAAATTAGGGGTGGCCAAACTAAAACGTGGCATCAGTGCTTGAAGTCACTAACTTGTAGTCTGAGCCATGTTGGTAGATGCAGACTACTTAATTGTTGTCCATGTGACAATCGTAACCAATGGTTGGAGACTGTGTGTGACATGGCTCAGAATCGATCGCAATGACGTAGGTGCATACACTCTTTGTCTTCCCTTAAACTATGAGATGAAATCACTTCATATTTTTTCTTCTACCAACCGATTCTTCTTTCCTGTATTATATCCTTATATTCAATCTTTCTTTTATACATTACCACCACTGAATTAACTACTTCTATGAATTTGATGTTCATCTTGTTGTGTTAATGTGGTATGACAACTTGGATCGATGCACATAGGTGCCTGTCCCTACGTTATAGCTGACTGACTGACTGATGAATTTCATTTTTCAACTTAACGCCAGCATTATCCCATTTCTGTAAACCTTCAATTAATTGTTTTATACAAGATTTTTGACTTTATGGAAGAATTCAGATAGAAAATTTCAGTGTGAAATTATATTCACTTAGATTCATGATGTTACGTAACAACATTTCTACAATATTAAGGTTAGAAATAACTAATAATGAGTTTTGATAAACTAGCAAATGTAGAAAAATGACAAAACTTTAACACGGTTTATTATCTCTACTATGTAATACTTTTTTGATGTGTACAAACTCTTTGCTTTTTGGTTGAATTTATCTTCAAGATCAGATGATCATATTAAGAATTGCTTAAACTTGTCCTTACACTTTTATCATGTTGTTTTACTATGATTTTAGTGTTCGTAATTGACAAATGTTTAGTTATCATCAATGATCATCTATTCATTCATTTAAATCTTTCTTTGTATTCTTTCACTGTTTCAAATATACAACTCTAATCTTCAAGGTACTTTTGAAGTATTTCGATAAATAAGAAATGACTACATACAGTATTTCTCTTTGTTGTTCTTAATAATTATTTGAACAAATTAATTATCATGAAAAAGATCTATTATATCCGAGCGAAGTATAAATCACGATTATGCACAAGGTTATTAAATCAACTCGATTTTAGTCGACTTTTCAGGTCATTGATTCATTTCAGACTTGAGATATCTATTTTCAATGTTAGTAATTAACATATAGCTATTATTTACTTCAGTAATAATAATGAGATATTGTGCATTTTGAAGTCTTCTGTTATATCCGAGTGAAGATTAAATCACGAGTAACTTCTGAGACTTATTAATTGACTAATATTATCTATATATCCTTATGGTATAAATATTCAATAATTAGATTATGTATATTCGTATTCTTCTTATTATAAGCTTTATTTTGACTTATATATTATTATCAGAATGGGTTTTGTGGAGAGTTTTACAAATTTCACAGGTTGAAATCATGAGTCAGTTGAAGCTAGACCACCATTGAAAACCTGGAAGCACTGGTGTATGGTGGCGCAACTTCGTGAATTGGTTGATGTTAGACACTAACACCGTTGGATGCCGGCCAGTGGTCTAATGGTTAGTGCTCGCGCGCGAAGCCAGTAGGTCCTGGGTTCGAGCCCGCGTGGTGCGGGATCGCGGATGCGCACTGCTGAGGAGTCCCGTACCAGGACGAAACGGCCCGTCCAGTGCTTCCAGGTTTTCAATGGTGGTCTAGCTTCAACTGACTCATGATTTCAACCTGTGAAATTTATATATTATTATTATACGATTTACGGTTCTTAAGCTATGTTCAGTTTATTGACTACTGCCTCGCACATTGACAGTCACTTTCTGGGCTTTATTGTGTACAAATGTTATTTCCTATTTTATGGTGCGTTGCGATCTGTTTGATTGATATATAAACCCAGTATGTCTGAAATAAATGATTCGATTCGTACTACAGAAGCTGGTATTGTATTCTGGACTCAGGTGGACAGGCTAGGAGGATATAGAACCGATCAGGACGCTAAGGTGCTCATACCGGTCGGACGTCATTGGTTTTGGCATTGTGTGAAGATTGTATAAGTCGTATTTTGATTGGTGGATAAATCACGTGATAAAGCCGAACATAAAGTCATAACAAGATCCATGTGAATCTTCATCATAAACTGGGATGAATCGGATAACTTTTTTTGATATATATAGTCGTTTTATCGACTATATATGCAATCTTTCTCTTATATATTACCATCTTTGACCTAACCACTGCTATGAATCCGGTGTTCATCTTGTTGTGCTGATGCGGTATGGGAAACTGGACCGATGCACATATGTGCCTGGTCCTACGTTGTAGCTGACTGACTGAGTCGTTTTATCTGGTTTATAGTTGTTTATTCTTTGATGATTTTTACAAGTCAAAATTAAGTTGATTACCTATTCGTTATACTTATAATATGCTTATTAATAGGTAGTTTTTTTTAGATTTGTTGATAAACTATCGTCGTCACTCTGGACAACAGGTGTAATAAACGTGGTGCAGATTCACACACTCCTTGCCTTCTTTTAGAATCTAAATCCTGAAATCTCCTTTTATCTTCCCTTCTTTTTCTACACCTACTCTCTTCTATTGCTACTGACACTATTAATACCTCTACTGCGCTAGGATTTGTCTTGCTGTCCTTATATGCAATCTTTCGTTTATATATTACCACCACTGAATTAACTGCTTCTATGAATCCGGCGTTCATCTTCTTGTGTTAATCAGGTGTGGCAACTTGGACCGATGCATATATCTGCCTGGTCTTACGTTGTAGTTTACTGACTTGCTGATATGGTGGTATAGCACCTCGAGGTGATATATGTATATAGATATATATCCCAGGTCCCCGGCTGTACTTGATGGTCTCACTAGCTGCTTACAGAAATTCTTTGGGCTTCTTGCAATTTCCGTTATCCAGGATCAAAACATTTTCCCAGTTATATCTGTGTCTATAGTTGTTCACTTGTGTTTATATAAATGATGTATCACGTACCTTCACTGTTAGTCTGTTCGTGTTTACATTGTTGAAAGAGAAGTCCACTTTGTCTAGAACAGTGCTTTTTCTACTTGATGGTACTCCATATTTTATTATACTACTTTGTTTTTCGGTCTGTGTAAAATATAATAAAATTTCCTATAAGCTTTATGGTGATTTCTAAAAACACTTTTGCGGATATATTCAGAATGGTATAATTTTCTTTTTATGTGGAGAATTTTATAACAGTCTGTTTATTCTCTTGATATTTTAGATTTGTGATCTTGACCGGACTGAACAATTGCATTTTCGTTTGTTTGGTTTTTTTTCTGGACAGTTAGTCTTTTTTTTAAACAGTTTTGGTATGATACTTTTGGCAAAGTGTATTTCTGTTGAAGTGAAAAGTATTATATCGTTCAAGGACATCGTTATTTAGTAGTTAGTGATAAATTATGTCATGAAGTCTCTAGAGTATTATTATTCTCCAGACAGATCTTGTAGAGCTCCTTAATAATGAAATAATTGGTGATAAATGGTATTTTTGATGTGTATGACTTGGGTGTATTATCCAAATAAATCATTATACTGTGATGAAACTCTTTGATCATTTTCTTAAATGACAGTTTAATAGTTAAAGTACTTAATTAACGATCTATAATTGTCATAATCAACTTTGTTAAATGTATTATTCGATTGATTAAATCTAAGTACACTGCCTCTCTCTCTTATAATTGGTAAATAGTAATTAACAAATAAACTTGACGGTCTTATAGAAGTGATGATCATTTCAAAATTTAGTTTAAAGATATCACTTTTATTTCTTTGGCATACTGTTTGCAGTTTGATAGACAACTGCTATTCATTATTTGTTATTTGGCTATACGTATATATATGTTTATATTGAGTACCTGTGTGTATACAACTAATTTAAGATATTTTTTTATCCTATTGTATTTTTTCAACAGCTTCATCGGATGGTTACGAAGGTAGTGCAATCTAATTGTGTTTTTTTTTTGCTTACTTCACATACATTTTATTTTACGCTTTTATTTTTATTTTTACTGGGTAAAATTCTGCCTCCCTCGGTTCAAAGTGTGAGGTAATCAATTCGTTGATTGGAAGAGGCACACAAGAAAAAACAAACTGATGTCATTGTTTCTGTTATTTTTTTTCCGTAATGGCTATTAACATAGATTTTTGTGCTGGTGTGTGTGTGTGTGTGCTTACCCGTGTCTTTTTGCACTGTTTCCCCCCCCCCAATATTGCTCTTATTAACGTTAAATGTTAGAGGTATGTGTACGGTTGTCAGTTTCTGGTTGTGTACACTATAGGAAAATATTTTCCCTCGAAATATATAAAGAATAGATCAGATTAATAATGATCTTGTCAACGTAAAAGCGTCGTTTTAGAGCTCAAGAGACAACTATTTGAGATCTCTCACACTTTTTGTGTACAGTTTTAGATGTAATACCTCCGTACGTCGAAGGTCATCTGCCAGTGACGAAAGTTCATCCGATGGGACCGGCGTTTCCTTACCCGTTCATTATCTTATAATGTTACCGCTATCATTACAACCCGCCTGTTTTGGTGGGGACCTGTAAGAATATGTGTTCCATCCAATCATAACTTCGTTGCTTATATTTATCTGTTACCTTTAATACTCTTACTACCTTTATTACCTTAGGATTCGTTCTAAAACTTTCATCTCTTTGCACTTATGGGCTATGGCAATTTAAACCGAAATATACGCCTTCCAGGTTCCATTTTTCATTTGATTAATTGACATGTTCCATCCATCCACTTTAATTTGATTAAGTCATCACAATATAAACACCTGACGTTCACATCGATCGACTTCAGATGTTGTTCATTTGGAAGAAGTTCAGGTACTTTACATTTAAACATTTATCGGGCGTTTTTCAATTCCATAGTTCATTTATCAATAATTAATATTAATTTTTGCATAAATCATATCTTAACACTATTGTACATCTTCTTCAATTGACTTCATTTATATGAAGCTGTAATTCTAACTGCACAAACTAATCACTTCTCCTTAATCCAACCATAATCACCATAATACAATGATAATCTTCAAAATATTTTCAACTTCACTTAATGATACTTCTATTTTATAATCTGTTGCAATTAGTTCTATCATATTTTGGGCTGCGACAATCATTTTACAATCTGTAAAATTAAAATAACAATTGATTACGGTTATCAAAGTTTATGATGATCTGTTCTCCTTAGGAAGTTCATAAAATTTTATAATGCATGAATATCACCTTCTATAATCTGTTATTTATAGTATACACTGTATCAGGTTCATGATCTCAATCAATAACTTGATAATCTCCGCAACCCTATACTGATAATTACCATTTGCTCACTAGTGACTAGCTTCGTGAGGGAATTCTCGGAGTTCTAATGAGAAGCCGTGACTAGTGGAGCTAATCCGTGTCGCATAGTGACAGGTATCCTCTTCAGTACAATAGAAGATGGTCGCGCAATTTCGTGGATTGGTTGAAGTTAGACATTAACACCGTCGGATGCCCACTTAGTGGTCTATTAGGTTGTGTTCGTGCGCGAGACCGAATGTCCTGAGTTCAGATCCCGCGGGCGGTATCGTGAATGCACACTGCTGATGAGTCCCACAATAGGACGAAATGGCCGTCCAATGTTTCCAGGTTTTCAATGGTGGTGAAACATCACTCGGTTTATGATCTCAATCAATAAAAAAAACGTTGAACAATTGTTACGACCATTTAAAGTACTAATCTATCAGACATAATATATATAAGTTTAGTTGAATTATTAACTAAATGAATTGCTCTTCATAATCTAACTTTCAATAAGAATATTATGAATTATCTATTAAATAACAACTGATAGTTCATCAGTAGATTATTTCGTCTATCATAATTCTCTTCCGAAGCATATTTCAACTAAGCATTATGGTTACAGGATAAAGAGAGATAGGGGAAATGGGATTGATAAATCTTTGTGTTTCCTATATATATATATATATATATATATATCTGTGTACGTTTATAATTATCCTAGATTCATGTATATTTGTGTCTATGTGTATTCATGTACTTATTATTATTTGATGTGCACCTTTGAACTAATGCACTATAGATGTTCATGCTTTTCTTGTACTTTTTGTGAGTGTGTGTGTGTGTCCTGGATTTTTTTTCATTGCACAAACTACTTGTTACTTTAACTATTATCATTGATATCTCAGATATGAACATTTAGATTCTATTTATTCTAACTAATTGATCGATTCCATGTTAGACATTAACACCGTCGGATGCCGGCTCAGTGGTCTATTTGGTTAAGCGCCTGGCGCGAGATTGATAGATCCTGAGTTCAAATCTTGCGGGGTGAGAAGTCGTGGATGCACACTGCTGAGAAGTCTCATACTAGGACGAAACGTCCGTCCAGTGCTTCCAGGTTTTCCATGGTGGTCTAGCTTCAATTGACTCATGATCTCAACTGTTTAAATGAATATTTCCTTTTTTGTATGCTCTATTCCCATATCATATGTTGTGATTTAATTTCGGTACAATCCAATCTCCACTTGTCTTTGTTTCTGTATTTTTTCTTCTAATCAACTTCAAATGTCAACATACCACTGAAATGTGATGAGATGATAATTTATAGACGATCCTTGATTGATGTTAATGTGATCTTGCGAGTGTCCACTTACTAATTGGGACTAAATAAGGATTATAAACTAGTGTGTAGAATAAGAATTATGCTATACAATTGATGGTTAAAGTTACAAATTACATTTAAAGTTTTCATCATGAATTAACAATTAGCTATAATGCTAAAACTCTATTGAACTAAATACATTTCGTGACCAAAATCCAAGACCTGTCTCTTTATACCTCATTAGTTCATCCAGGATTGTTACACAGAGATTAATAGATAAAGAAGTTATGATCATTTACTGGATAAATCATCTTTTTTTTCTTTCAAATAAACGTCTTCTTTTTCAGGTTGTGTTTTATTGATAGTTTTCTTCTTATAGTTTATCATAGATGTTCCATTCACTATTTTATGCACTTTATGATCGATCAATATGGTAATAGACATAGTAACAACAACCGAATTAATTTGATTGGTTAATTTTGTACCTACAACATTCACCATATATATATATATGCTCAGATCAATTGAAATATGTGATAACCTTTTTTTTCAATGATTAATTGGTAGAATCAATAAAGTACTTGTTATTGTTTTTTGATGAAATTTCGGTTCTTTGAACTGAATGGTTTGATCGTGGAACTTTCATCATTCAGAAAAACTTCAAATTTATGCTGGTGATATTGTTCAGAAGAATGATGAAAGATCCACAACTAAACCATTTAGTTCAGAGAAGTGAAACTCTATCAAAATCATTCACTTGATCTACAAATCTTCTCCATCATTTACTTGTTATATATTAAGGAATTTATTTCATATGTGTATGTTTTTTCTTCTTATTGTAATCAATTCTTCTTTTGTGTTATCTGTGTTCATGAATAACATCTTCAATGTGTATTCATTCGTTTTAAAAAGAAACGATCTGTAATTTATTTGAATGCTCTGGTAGAGTCCAGAGTGGGGAGAGTCAGTTTTGCCTCTCGAAAAATGCTCTCACATAGCCACTGCCAGGGAAGTTCTACTCACTATGTGCTCGTGACGGGGGTGTTGTTTACGGAATTGAGAGAACGAAAAGCGAATGTCCGGTTCTTTAACTGGGTTGGTGAATATGGAGGGTCCATTTAGGGGAGTTGGAAAACCTTGATTTCAAACCGCTGGTGTACATGGGCTCCGGGATTCTGAAGGAACAAATGGTGTGTGAACCTATTGTTGGTCACCGGCTCCCATGGGACTACATCTCTTGATGTTGCTCCATTACCATGTGGATCAGATCTTTAGGCCAATGACTTCAGGTGTGGCTTCTTAAAGAGATCACTTGTTTCGGTCTGGGTACCCGGGCAGTATCACAGCCCACACACAAATTAGGTGACTTGTCTAGCGCATATATATTCAAATAAATAAATAAAATAAAACAACTAGTATACAGAAATGATTTCATTCGTTATCACTGAAATTAAAACTTTTATACTAGTCGTTAACCCTATGATGTATTATAAGGTGACATATATTAGAAACACCAATTCTAGATTGTGAATATTTGTCCAAATGTTAAAATGTAATTGTTGTAAAAGACATCTACCATCATATTAACAGTTTTGACTTGAATTGCATACTATAAACATCTCTAAATACCATGTTTTTTTAAGGCAAATGCAAATATGCATAGAAATAACTGTTGATTTGTATTAGTCAACTATTGAACTGGAAACTGAAATGTTCTATACACCTTCCTTCTTATATTATAACCAAGATTTTCTGATTCTATGTAATCGACAGTTTAAAGCATTTTGTCACTTTTATAAGTAAATTGTAACTGATGACATTTTTACTGAAGTGGTTAGACGTATGAGGACAGAATAGAGCTTAAAATAAAAGTAATAATGTTTGAGAACTTAATACCCTATCAATAGTAATTAGAACTATTCTTCCAATATTCCAATTCTTTTTGAGATATTATTCATTTATTTATTCAAACACATAAAAATTGGTACAACGAGGCACCAAACAGATATACACCACATAAATCATTCGACTTGTGTGAGGGTTGGGATACTGCCTGGGTACCCAAACCGAAGTAGGTGGTTTCCTTCCAAGGCTACTTCCTGAGCCTTTGACCTAAAGGTCTAATCCACAAGGCAGTGGAGCAACGTCAGGAGATGCAGCTCCATGGTAGCCGGGGACCAACAGTAGGTTCACACTCCATTTATTCTTTCAAGATCCTGGAGCCAACTCATGTGCACCATTAGTTTGGAATTAGGGTTTTCCAACTCCCTTAGATGTATTCTCCGTATCTACCGACCCAGTTAAAGCACCGGATATTCGCTTTTTGTGTTGTCAATTTCGTAAGCAGCAGGAATGCCGCGAGAACTCAGTGAGTAGGACTTCCCTGACATTGGTTGTATGCACGTGGCCATGTGAGAGGATTTTCGAAGTAGGGCTGACTCACCACACTCGGCCGTACCCCATGGCATTTTGGGTGCCCTTTAAAATAATTGTGAAATGAAGATTATATTGTTTTGTTACTTATCATTATTCTTTATGTTCAAATCGATATATTTCATTCAATAATTCAACATACTGTGTATATGTTGTCGGATTATTTTTATTTCTTCTCAGCTTAGTATTTATCACGTGTACACCTTCCTGTCCTCATTAACAATACTACTTCTAATTACAATTAACTACAGCATTATTCTGCTACAAATTTAATCCAAATTTTGCATTGTTTTAAATATTTCTTAAACAGATAATGAAACGGGACGAATAGGGTATTTTCTTTATTTGTGACTATAGGCTAAGATACTTGCTGAACACTTAAGCTTAAGCAGATAGTCTTCTTAGGATGAGATTTCTCATTCCTTTGACCTAGTTGTTTGAATTTACAAGCTGGTGAAGTATCGACAGGAGAATCAGTGCAATATTAGCCAGCATCTAAAATAGGCTCATATACCATACATTTTCTCTGAAAATTTGGAGTTCACATACGGCATTGATTTGGAATCAGTATTTTCCAGTTTTATTTCTCTATATTCACCAATCGGCTTTTAGTGTCGGATGTTCCCTTTACATCTCAATCAGTTAGTCTGAACGTATAATTAAGTGACTGTTATAAAGAAAATGTTCTCCTCACTTATTATTGTACCACGATATCTAGGAGCAAACAGTGTTTTTGCAGATTTAATATACTATTAAGATAGTATTGGAGTTCGAATCTGCAACTTAATGAATGAAAACGGTGAATAGTATGTTGCATATAATTTACATACGAACTGAAACAAATTAGAATAATTCCATAATATAGTCGACAAATTCATCAATAATATTGTTTAATCAATGTAATTCATAATTTGTCAAGATTTCATATGATCATTCCCTATGTATATTGAAGTGTTTATCATTATCTCATCTTTCAATAGTAGAATTGAATTTCTTTCTCATATTTCATAACCCTTGTGTAAATCATTTCGTCAGTGAATAAAAATCTTTTATTTTTCTCCACTCTCTTAAACTTCTTTATTTTTTCAAATGAAGTTGATCTTATCACCTTGAAAGTAGTTACCAATAACAACCACTGAATATATAATTCTTATGATATCTTTCCTATTAAATGGCGTGTATTTTAGACATTGCATTTTTATTATGAAACAGTTTGCTTTATTTGTTTAGCACATAATATCTTAAAGGAATCAAAACTGTATGATTTGAAATAACTGACATTGTCTTTCTTGAGAGTTAATTGTTTTAAACGCTTTCTTTTTCTGCTTGACTGTATCAGTAAATGATGGTTCAGTGGATTTTTTGGCAAGACTATAATTTATAAACGACCTTTGAACGAATCTTGAGTATAGAGTAAAAATATATTGTTATACAAAACCATGAAAATAAAGTGGATACACTTCTTATACGTGGTTCAAAAACTTGTCAAGGTTAGAAAGAGGTTCTTAAATCGTAATACATGGAGTAAAGGAAATCATCCATATGGCTACAGAATAGTCGGCCTTTGGAGCCATGATAAAGTCTCAAAAACTCTTTCAGCCTCGACCACATAGCTTCAATATTGTTTGTGTGCACTCCGGTTGTTAAGTGTACAAAATGCTACTTGTGCATAACAACACGATACATATAACCAAGCCTATGCAGGAGTCTTTACGCTCTCCAAACATCCGTATATTGTAGTACCTGGCTGCAGCCAGTGTTACTGGTGATTTTATTATCCAGTTCGCGATAATTGTCGTAATTTGCCTTAGCTAGGAATTATATATGGGGTTTTCATCACGAACTGACATCAATTATAATGCCAGAAATTTATTTAGCCAAATGAATGAAAGGCTTTCGCGTTAAAATCTGAGATTTATTATCTTATACCTGGTTGGCTCGTCCACAAATTATAGTCTCGCCATTTTATTTGTTATAGCCACTCAATTATCACGTTTTGTACTAAATTCCCTGTGAACGATCGTACGTTAGCATTAAGCACTGAAGTTGACGCCGTAACCTTGAAATCTCTAAAACGCCTCTGATTGTCTCGTCCATAAATTAGAGTCTCGCGGATTTTTTCCTCTGAATGGTAAAGAACTTTTATTAATTAACTCTTAACTGAGTTGAACTGAACTGAATCATCTTTGCAAATAACAATAATTGAGCATATTGTTTAAAAAGATATAGAAATCTACACAATTAACCAGAGCATTCAATGCGTAACCATTTAAGTGAGTGTATGAAGTAATATCAGTGAAATTTTAAATAAGCAACTAACATGATAGTTAAATACTTCTATTACATTTTATGTAGTTTCTTCATACTTTTTTCATCCCACCATAACGTGTATTTTATAACAATAACATCTTACACTTCATCACTATCAGTTAATGAATTCACCCCCTCTTCCCCCCCTCTTATTCCTTTCAATTTAATTTATTTCTTTTTCTTTGTTACTTACAATTGTAGAACACTTCCGTATCGAAAAAAGCATAAAGATACTTCAATTCATTCCAAGCCTAAAACAACAACTTTACCCATTACTACCAATAATAATAATATACTATTAATAGTAGTAATAAAGTTCCTTCGAATGATACTAATTCTATCATTGATATTTTACATACGAATGATCGACAAAAACATCAACAAAGTGATGTAAATCGTCCAAGTATTCCTTATTCTTTATTTAATATTAATAAACTAAAAAATCGAAAAAATTATCAACAAATCAATCTGATGATCATCAGAAGAATAATAATTTGAATACGAAAATACCTGAATCATTCACTTTCACCGATAGTCATTCTTCAACAATGGATCCAACATCTTCATCGGGTACAATGAATTCTGCGAAAATTACACAACAACAAAATAATAAACAATCTTCATCACCTAGTGGTCGAATTGCATTGCCTGATTCAATTTTCAAGGCACTTGATACATTGAACACAGATGAGAAGACGATTAATGATGATAGGAAAAAATCTGATTCGAAATCACACGGTTTTAAATTACCCACAACAACAGCATCGTTAAAAAGAGATTCAATTATTAAATGGTCAGTACGTCATCGACCAAACAATACTATGATGACTACAACTAATAATATTCCATCTATTGCTGAGTCGAAACAGGTGACAACAAGCAAGAAAAATGTGGATCCAAATCAAAATATCAATTGTTCCACGGAATTGAAGAATTATTCAGACTCTTCAATGACTTTAGAAACTCCGTCAACTACAGTTTCAAAAAATGGATCATCTAGTCATTCTCGACCAGGACGATTCTTCCGTAGTCTAACATTAAGGATAGCTCGAAGGTAATTAATTCAGTATTTTTATAGTTTTTTTTTCCATAAACGTGCTTTTGATTTCGATAATGTTTAGCATTGATCTGATCACTATTGGTTGGGTTCTTTTGTGTATCCTTATTTCATTTTGCAAGGTGGCTAAAATAACTTTGTTAGCATGTTATTTGGCTATATACGCGTGGCCATGTGAGAGCATTTCGAGAGGGAGAGCATACTCTCCCCACTCTCAGCCGTACCAGGGCATTTGGGGGCTATTTGGCTGTATCATCGATTAAGCATAAATACACCCCATAATTTAATTCTATATGTTAATCAAGATCTTGTAAGTCATATTGTATTACGATTGCATCTTCAATTAACATGGTATTTGTTATAGATATTCATCTGTTCAAGTTAGCACGTGTCAAGTCATATTTTCTAAGGTGTTTTAGCTAATAGACTACTGTCAACAGTTAACACAATGATTCACTTGGTATTGTTTGTTTGAGTCTTCCGATTGATGTTTAGGATTGCAATTGATCAGTCTGTTATTGGCATATTGTGCGTATTGCATCGATATAGCCTTAATTCGCATGCATTATATGCAAAGGTGGACTCAGTAGCTAAGTAGATAACTTGATGGCGTTTGAAGCGAACGATACTGAGTTCGAGTCTCAAAGTGGACTTCAACTCTGAAATGCAAGCACATTCATCTGACGAGTCCCAAACAGGACAAAACGCTCATCCTGGATTCCACTGCTAGCCACGATCAATCTTTGCAGTTAATACAATGCACTATGATTTTCATTTATGTAACATGTTTTCTTTTTGCTTTGCAACTTCGTGTTTATTCTTTGTATAAAATCCATCAACTAGTGATTTGAGCCCCACTTCACTTGTTAGACATTTACTCCTTTTATTCTGCTAATTGGTTTTTGCATTTAAAAATTGTACAAAAAGCCATACGTTGATTAGGTCAAATTACTTTTATTGAACGTAATAAGCTACTTATGAGTAGTGAAATAGTAGATTTCACTAACTAGTTAATTTTCTTATGCAATCTGACGCGTATTTGATTAGTTCTGTAAAAGTTAGTTGCAATATCATAAATTTTCTTTAAAATGTATAAATCTTTTTTTCGAATAAAAAGTATATGTACTTAGTCAGACATGCACAGCGTCGAACCTGACATTTATGTCGATCAGTTCAATTTGCCATTTCATATTAGCAAGACAAATCCTAGAGTAGTAGTATATAAGTAGTAATTGTGTCAGTAGTAGAAAAATAAGATCAAGTATTAAACGTTTAATGAGAATTCTGTACACACGTTATAATAGAAGATAAGGAGTGAGTGCACATTGGACATGGCATGCGATTCTGAGCTATGTCATCCATTCTCTGAATATCGGCTACGATAATCTTCGTGGTAGTTTACACCTATTGACATGACCCAGTCGCATTGTTAGCAACTTCACGGACTAATACTACGTCTTGGTCTAACCGCCCCCAAATTTCTTCTAACTTACTTCTATACGTAGTCTGCATTACACTACACGGTGGATGTGTGTAGCTTAAGGTCTGTAGAATAGTTGTACTACTAATAGTTCGCTTACAACAAATCCAAAGCTAAGAAATTAGTTGCATTATCATAATTTACAAATTAACTGTTTATTAAGTGATCTTTTAATTGCCTACAATCATTTGTAACACATAAATTATGCGGAGTTTACGGCAAACACTTCAATTGGTTCCTTTAGAACTTCAAACTGAATAGATTGGTTGATAAACGAATAAATAGTAATTTAGTGTTCAAGAATTTGCACTATGGTTCACAAAATCTACTACAAATAACAATCTGAATGTTTTCCTCTCAACGTTATATTTTGTTGAATTAAGTACACAATTCATATATGTTGATTGTTTTGATCTTCCGATTGATGTTTAGGACTGCAATTAGTCAGTTTCCTTTGGCATATGTGCATTATGTACAGATTACCTCGATATAACCATCAAGCTACAAGCATTTTAAGCAAAGATGGATGGTGGCTTATCAACTGCAGTTCTAAACACCAGTGAGAAGATTCAAATAACCGTTATGTATGAATTAAAATTCACGCCATTGCACAAGCCAGGGCTATCTGGACTCAGTAGCTAAGTGGACAACATGACGACGTTTGAAGCGAACGGTACTGTGTTCGAGTCCCTAGTGGAACACCAACTCTAGGATGCATGTACATCTGGCTGATAGGTCCCAGATAGAGTGAAACGCGCATCCTGAATTTTATTACTACCCAACATCCATCTCTGCTTAGTACACAATTTCAGTTTATTTATATATGCTCCTTCCGTCTCCATATACATGTGGCTATTTGTTATAACTTGTGGTCTGTATGCCCTGTTGATATATATCGAAACAATACCGCCAATTAGAGAACAATGAATTATCGGTCGGGCCAATGACAATGACGCATAAAACCTGTGCTAGGAATCTAGAGTCCTGCTTCCTGCCTAGCTCAGCCTGTTACATCAAGAACACAAATCTCAGCCTCTGCTATATGAATCATTGATTTCAAACATACTTGGTTTATATACCAACCAAATAGACCACATTGTGCCATAAAATAGGAAACAGCACTTGTACAAGAATTAGCCAAATGTGGCTGTGAATGAGGGAGAGTAAGTGATAGACAAGGTATAATTCAAGAATGGTAAGTCGTATAATAACACTTCATAGGTCAAAATCAAGCTCATAATAAGTGGGACATGAATATGAATAGTTTAGTTATTTAACAATTATATGATAAAAATATGAGTATAGTATTGATCCATAAATGGATCCCAAAAGTTACCATTCATTATGTTTATCGGGACATAACATTCTTATACTGAATATGACTACAGTGATGAAGTATACAAAGGATTTAGTGATTTAAACCATTTTACTTTCTATCTCATTGCTCTGCTTGCTTCCATTTGTCCAAATCAATTGTTTTGATAGTCGTGTTCTAGTAAGAATTGTCTATCAAAAATTGATTGATCTTCCATTACATCATCAGAAATACACTGCTATATAATAAATTTAACGATTATTCTATATTATGAAATGTGAAAAAAGGTGATAATTATCATGAATAATTTCTTTTTGATCTATACATCAAGTTTTCGATGTGGTCGTTTTAAGTCAGGGTGAGTTGAAGTGAAATTATTTGTGTGTGTGTGTGTGTGTGTATGTATGTCAATGTATATATCTCTCATATATTACACCTTTACAAAATGCACTTATATGCGATAGCTATGTTTGATATAAACAAGCAGGAATGTATGTGAGTGTGTTTTCGTGCATACTTATGCGCTAATTATTTGAGCTCTAAGTAACTATTGTAACTATGCTTAACTCAAATTTCTGGCTACTTTTTTTTTCTACTACTTGTTACACACTTAATATAGCTAGCTACACTTGTATTTGTTACTTTACAATGCTACTTTTGTTTGCTGTGATTTCGTTTCATTTTCTTAACATATATCCTTGTTCACTATTCTCTCGGTGGTTTTCTTCTCTTCCCTTCTTACTCTCTCTCTCTCTCTCTATCTATCTATCTATCTACCTCTATCTATCTGTCTTTGTGATTCGATTCTGATTTCAGTACCTTATTTTCTTATGAATTTTTTTTCTGTTTTCACAGGAAGGACAAGAAGAATTGTACTTGTTTATAATTTGTAAATAAATTCATCATCATTTGTGAATAAAGATTTTTTACATAGTAATATGAATACCATTACTACTATTATTACATGTTAGTAATATTGTTAAATGTGTGTTAATTAAGCATAACATTTAACTCAAAACACTGATTTGTATATTCTACTAGTTTATTTATGCTACGCTAACATTATTCCTTTCGTTCCTTCAGGATGAATTCTTTTTTTTTTTTAATTTTAAATGGTTAATAGTTCAACTGAGATTATGTGTTTGGATGTGTTCTGGGGTGTAATTGGTAAAACACAGTTTAAGAATGTTTGATACATCGAATCTGATAGTTGCATAGTATGTAGCAACTCATTGATTTGAAAAAAATGATTATAGTCATCCTATGTGGAAGTTATGCATTTAATTATGTACTTTGGTCATCAGTGAAGAGGGAGGTTGGTTATGAATACAGTGGTCTTAAGTGCTGTTAGAGGTATGACGGCGGTTATCACTTCCCGGTTGCCCACACCGTGGAAGGGTTCTTCTGGAGGTACCTGATTAAAGGTGGTCATAGTGATCTGAGAGTGTGACCGCAGTAACCGAGGTATAACTGATTGAGGTCGATCACATACGACCTTTTTAAGGGTAATTTTTGTGTTACCTTCGTACTTGTCGGAACTTTACCACCGGAGACTGATATCTGTGAGATAAGGCGAGGTGTGCATTTTGGGATCCACCTTTTCTAACCCCACCCTTCCTCGTGGGAAGGTACTATCGCTGTTATGCTGGTTGTCTGAAGGAAACAGCATGCTGCCGTCACACCTCTGTACAGTCAGCAGTACGACTTCGCCCTCGGACTTTGGGTTTGTTGCTTTTAGTCTTACCGTTCTTCAACTGACCTGTCTGACATGGTAGGACCTTGAGGAACGATTGTTCCAGCCAGTATAGCTCGGTTGGTTCATGACGATGCGTGAGACTGACCACCACGTCAAAGTAACAACAACAGTCGGGTGTGTTTGAGTGTATCTGTTTATCATAATCTAAAGTTGATACGCAGTAATATGATTTCATTGGTGATATGAAACAAGGTTTATAGTCTTGTTGGTTGGATGATATGCTTAAATAATACTTATTCCAAAGACCGTATTATTCATTGTAGCTCCTTGGTGTTGATGTTGGATATTTTTTCTAAAAAAAAAAAAGAACATCACTTTTAATAATCCTCTTTTAATCACTTTTATGCCTCATTATAACAGTAACAATAATAATAACGCACAAAATCTTGTTCTTTCGCTTAACAGCTAACTTTTTTTTTACATAAATTCATATAATCTCTATGCAG